TTAAAACCACTTTATACTAAATGGTGAGTTGAAGCCGTGCAGTCTTATTAAAAATTGCTTAAAACCACTTCATACTAAATGGTGAGTTGAAGCCGTGCAGTCTATTGAAAATTGCCGGGAATTATGTACACAGGGATTCCAACTTGCTGGCATTATAGATCGACTGAAGCCACTTTGCAAACATGTGGAATAAGTTGACAGTCACATGAATATTGCTGTTGTTCAAAAATGTCTCATTTTTAAAACCAGAATTCAGATGAATACATAATTTTCATTCACTAGTCTTGCGCTACTGAACATTCAGAAGAAAAACGCCATGTCTGAACTTGTTTTTATAAACTTCCGGTGCCGTCACGCTGAGGCATCAGATTTCAGACAAGTATTTTTCCAGTTTTTAACGACTATTTGTGTTAAAAAATATTTATTGACTGTAAGAAAATAAAAACATTAAATGAATACTACCAGCCCAGTACTTTGTTTGCTTGAAAGACATGAATGCCAGTGGTGTGTTGTGAACATCAGCGGTAATACAAAAATACAGTGCCCCAGTGACAAAATTAAAAAAATTTAACCTCCAAATTTTCACACATTTTAATTTTAGCGCAGCGGAATTACGCGAATATTTAACTGTGCAAATAATTTCTACAGTATATCTATAAGTTTGAACATCATTAGTCAAGGCATGTTGTAGATATGGCTCTAGAACAGCATTTGTTGAGAAACTGGCCACCAGCCATTTTGAATTTGCTCTACAAATAAAATGATGTGCCTCAAGGTCTTATTATGGCCAATGTATGTATCTAGTTTGAACAAACTCCAACCATACATGACTGAAACATGTCTTCAGAATGGCAGAAATGCTTGATTTCGGTGATTTTGGCATAAAAATTGCCGCCATTCACCCATCACATCAGGAAACGAAAGGAAGTGCATATGTGTGCCGATATGCATGAGGTAAGTGTGAAATTGTAGTGCAACCAGCCCAGGCATGTCCACTGATGGACAGAGACTAATAAAGACTAACACCAATAGCCAGAACACTCAGCCACGACATAACGACATAACGATGACTAATAGAAATACCAGACTATTCAGTCATGACATAACAGCAACAGTACTTTATTTCACTCACTGAATCACTAAGATCATCCAAATATTTGGAACATTACAAATATCTCACCTTAGTTTTAATTTTTTTATCTGTGTCTGTGAGAAAAATTGAAGAGTTTGGATCACTGGCACTCATCTTAGTCTGTGCACCTTGCAGAGCAGGAAAGAACTGTGAATGCAACAATGCTGGTTTGGGATAACCTAGTCTGGGAGCTACATCGCGTGTCATACGAAAATATGGATCCTAAAACAAAGTAACAACATATCAATTATACTGAAAATAATGTATCCAAGGCCTGATTGTCATATGCCATGCAGAATGATTTGCAATTTAACCTCATCATATTATTTACCCAAAAACTGTCTATAGTACTAATCAATTATCAATCACTGCCTTTTGATCAGTCTTATTATCATATCATTTATCAATCCATGTCCTCATCAGAGCATATCAATTAGAAACCATTATCTTCTTATAGTTTATAGCATCATTTACCAATTATTTCTCCTCATTAGCATATTTATCATTGTCTCCCATCACCATATCATTTATCAATCAATTTCAAATATAGTTGATATTGATTTAAAGTTAAGTTGTCTTGATTTTGTTAAATAGTGATGTGCATCAAAACCACGTAGGTTACATGAAGAGAACTGTTAAGTGATCATATAGGCCATTCAACTTGTTGAGAAGAAACTTCAAAACGTGTTCAATTTAGACATTTCACACACAATTAGATTTGAACGTGTTTTACATGATTGCTTTGATCTCCAATATATACTCACCTGATCTATAGCACACGGTATAAGACAATGTATATCACTACGACTTCCAAATATATGTGGAAAAGAATTACTAAATGACGGTGCCGCTTGGATGGCTGGAAAACTAATCTTACCTGCAAGTTTGAATTGAATTGAAATGTAAGTGTAACACACTGTGGGACTATAATCAGGCAAATGTTTCTATTATAAAAGAAGTATTTATTCCCAGTAAACGTTTATGTGAAACTTTAATGTGGCTCAAACTCTATTAATAAAGTTCTCAAAATTAAAAACAAAAAAGACTTTTTGCCCATGTCTATTTTCAATATTTGCTATCGAAGATGATGGGGCAATTAGCTCAGTTGGTCTAGAATTCATACCTGAACAAAGCAGTCAATAGCTAATAAGTTCAACTTTAGATAGTTTACATGGCACATATGGACTATAGTTAATATCATCTTACACAGAGTGAAACATCAGTTGTTCACAACTATTTCAAATTATATTAAGCTATGTACATACCTATGCAATCGCTGTCACCAAATCCAAATATACCTTTCACTTGATTGAAAGTTACACATTTCTGTATTTTAAGCATGTTTCGATAAAATTCTGTTGATGACCTGCAATTGATAAATTAATAGTTCAGATAATTACAGTAAGGATTATTATCAGCTTTCACTTCAAAACGGTTGACACTATGTGTACCTTGTAATTATAAGATTTGATAAGAGTGTATGGCACATATGTTCCATGATATATATTTACATATTTTCATTCAAGACATAAGGTTGAAAGCTTTGGTAAGCCTCTGGATAATGTATCAAATTTAAATAAAATCCGACCACAAACGCCTGTGGTAAATCTAGGTTTTCATTTTAAAATGTCAGGTATTTGTAAGCATTGCTCGTTTGGCGCTGACTAGTAATACACTTAATATTCATATGATTCTCACCCAATGTAGTCAATATCAGAGAATATAAATGTTTTATTGACGTCAAATCCTAACGCTATGATGTCTTTAGCATTTTCGTAAGCCAACTCATTTGCCTTCTCTACTGTTAGATCTTTCCATAAAAATTTCTCATCATCAGTTAACTGGATCACTAATGGCACATCAAATGCATCTTGCAGGTATCTAGAATAAACAGACAAATAACAATTGTTACAATAAACTATAATATCCAATTACAATAGTACACCAACATCATATATTACAATACACCAATGTTCAGGGAGGGGAGGAAGGAAGGATGAAGGAAGGAAGAAACGAATGAAGTAGGAAGGGAAAAAATCCCATTGTGAAAATTACAGATTTATTTTGTAAAGCTGACAAAATTTATTTTGCCATTATTTTGGTACTTAAAACGTTTACTTTAGTCAATGTGACAAGTATCAGCATTTTACATATTTTATAATAGCAATACTTTCCTATTTATTGAGTAGAGCTATTTTAGAGTGCTTAGATACAGGTGACCATGAACACTTTTCTGACATTACTGACAGGGTGAGTTTATTCATAACAATTTTTACTATTTCTGTGGTTTATTTTCGACATCAACATCACAGACAAGTTCCAAAGTTGAGAAATTTTTTAAGTAAATTTAAACGTCAAGACCTACTATCTGTGGTGGATGAGATAGGGTTGCGTTGTGTAGAGAAATAGACTTCCATGAGACAAAGTCGGAGTTCTGTGAGATCCACTTTTAGAACACGTCAGACTACATTGAAGTCAAAACCTGAATTACTTCCTCCAAAAATCTGTTAGCTAGGAGTATTTGCATAATGTTGTCAAAATAGAATACATAACTGTGATTGGCTCAATTATTCTTAGTTACGAGTCAAAGGTTATAGAAAGAGGGGCAAAACCAACACCTAACATTGCAACATTAAATGATAAACAAGATACAATGTAATACAATGTTATACTACACAGGTAAACAGTAGAAATCTGAACCATGTAAATTAATAAATTTTGAAATGTTGATTACAATGGAGCTCTCAGCGATACTATCTGTAATGTATGAATGATATTTCATTTGGAACCAACTTTGTTTGAATATTAACATGAATAAATTTTAAAGAAATAACACAAAATCTCTTGATTTTTCAAGAAGTGTTGTAACAGCGCATTCTGTGGTGCATAGTTTAAGGCACACGTCCAGCCATGCGTTTACGAATCCGAACGAACCACAATCTCATTAGCATACCTCGGGTTTGACCTAGTTCATTAACATATTCAATGTGTCTGTGCGTCACGGGAAGCTGCCGAGTTGCGCTGTTTGTGTGTAATTCCAGTGTTTTACTCGTGATTATTCATGTTTTACCATAAATTATCCACATTTAATTATTATCGGTGGC